CTTCCTCCCTTCCTCCCTTCCTCCCTTCCTCCCTTCCTCCCTTCCTTCCCTTCCTCCCTTCCTTCCCTTCCTTCCCTTCCTTCCCTTCCTTCCCTTCCTCCTTCCCTTCCTCCTTCCCTTCCTCCTTTCCTTCCTCCTTTCCTTCCTCCTTTCCTTCCTCCTTTCCTTCCTCCTTTCCTCCGGGCGGGGCGTGGAGCCCATCTCCCCAGCAGCTCTCTGGAGAGGTGTGATGTGTTCCCGCTGCCCCCCCGCCCGCCGGGATACCCGCACTTTCCCATTTCAGACAATGCATTTCCATTCCAGTCTTGTGCCTTTGTCCATTTGTAGGAAGAAAAGAGGGCTGAGTGACAGCTCCTGTTAGCCTGCATGAGCAGATACCAAAAAACCCTCCCAAAACCTGGACCTTAAAAAAAATAAATAAATAAAGGGGAAAGAGCGAGGCAGGGAGCCACATGCCTCTTCGCCTCCGGCTTATTATTAAGACACCTTCGCAGCTTAAACGCTTAAACGCGACCCAAATTAAATGGCAATTAAAAGCAAGTTACACCCTCTCCTATCTCCAGGCTTATCTCGGGTGGAAGCTAGCCATCAGCAGAGCCTCCCCGCCGGGAAATGCCATTTGGGCTGGCATCTTCGCCGAGGGTGTGCGAGTCCCCCCCGCAGCCCCGAGCTCGCCCGGCAGCGGGCGGCCCCCCCGGGCGCTCCCCGGGCGGAGCCCGCAGTCACTGCGGGGCTGGAGAGCCGCTACCTGCGGCCAGAGGGACAGGGGGGCGCCGAGCAGGCAGACAGGACTCATTCCCCGAGTGGCAGCTCCTCGGACCCGTGTCACTAAATAAATAAATCACGTACCCCTTCAGCTTTGCAACCCAGGGCTACGCAGCCTCGGTGCGTTCCCATCTCCAAAATATATCGGCACTTGGAAATGTCGAACCAGCTATCAGTGGTCTTTAGTTCTTACGTCCCCTTCCCTATTTTTCTTTCTCCTGTTACAGATGTATTTCCGTAGATCTATATGTATTTTATGTATAATTCCATAATATCATGTCACTGCAGTGATACTTTGTGGTCTCACCCTAGTTTTATGTTTGAAAATGCTATTTAAAGAAGCCTGTAAGATAACATATTAGGCAGCTTTAAAAGCAGGTTGGAGTGTGGGGTGGACTTAAATTCGATGTAAATGAAAGGGTAAAAAAAAAAAAACCAAACCAAAACAAACCACATAGTTTTCATTTAGAAAAAAAAAAAAAAAATACACTTAAACAGACACACATACAAATGTGCAATCTTAGATTCTGGTCAGTATTTAAAAGCAGTATAATCAACAGGAAGGAGCACTTACCTATTGAAAAGGATGGTTTAATAATATATATTTATATATATTAGCTTTATGTCTTCCCAATAAAATGTACACAAAATACCCCCTTCGATCAGATTAGTTCCCATATTAGCCTGGGTAAGAAAAAGCATTCTAAAGAGTGGAGGAAAAAATGTATAAAAATGTTGAAAGAACCTACAGTTCCTTATTAGGCGAAGATACAATATTTATTCCTTGTCTCCTGGGATGAAGCTCCTCTATCTATTGTCCTCCCAGTTCTCAGTGCTGATGCTTAATTTTCAAAACTTCTATATTACCAAGGGACCTACGACATCAGCCAAAGAAATACCCAGCAAGTACAAAATCTGATCCAGGGAGCAGCTTTTGTGCAGAGGGAAAATTTTGTTCCTACAGGTTTTTAAGGAGGTGCATGGAAAAGCGAGAGATCTGATCTATGCAGATACATTGCAAATTCTCTCTGTCTGTAGAGATTTTTTCTAAAAAAAATTGGGGAAATACATGAACTTTGGATTTTTCAATTTTTTCCTTTTTTTTTTTTTTTTTTTTTTATTTGGAGAGGGGAGTTTTATCCAGAGTTGGGGGTTTTTTCCTCTTCTTC